TTTCTTGGTAGTATTTGTTTTTCTAACCTCTCCCCCTCATCTTCAATATCAGTGTAATGTCTGCATACCTATCTTCTTAAGAATTGTCTCCCTTTATATTGAAAGCAAGAACACTAGGCATTCATTTTATGACAGTCAAACAGTATTTTCTTGCCGGTCTTATTTACAATGCAACCTGTTTAGTTTAAGGAAAGAAAACGTTGCGTTTGTGTTTGATAGATCTCTGTGGTTTTCATTTATGAAGATATTTTAGGTTGTGTACAAAGGTTATTCTGTGTTTTAAATTAGCAGCCAAGAATAAAAAGCAGCTTCCTCCTAATATAATCTGAAGTATTTATTCTCCCCACCATATCAGATTAAGTGGTCAGGATGGTCGTCTAGCAATAATAATGAAAAAACAAAACAAAAACTAAAATAAATATAGACGCGCTACATCAGTTGACATTAGTGTGGGGATATTTTTTGCTGCTGGATCTCAATGTGGGTTAAACTGTATTGTACAACAGCATAGAACACTGCTCAGCCAATCACATTTAAGTATGGGAAACTCTTGTTTATATGATCAAATTAGTTTCACTTTCTTTGCTGGGTAGAGTTTAAAAGAAAAGCATGGGTAATGTTCCCCTTTCCTTTCTAATAAAGTGTCTTACAAAGGTATTCAAACCGCTTTAACTTTCTAACCTTTTGTCACATCACAACCATACAATTCAGTGGATTAAAATCTCCTGTTGTGGCAAACTAACACAAAGGAGTTCTATAACTGTGAAGTAAAATCAAACGAATACATGTTTTCCCAAAAACCTTTATCAATCAAATCTGAAAGAAAAAAAAAATAAAAATGGTGAGCACTTGTTGGTTTGTTTCTCGACCAGGATAGGATTCTACTGTGCTCAGTCAGATTTGATGATGGTTACCTGAATATTCTGCCACAGATTCTCAATAGGATTTAGGGCTGCACCTGCACTGTCCTTTGACAATGCTTTGGCATTATCCTCAGCCATGAAGGCGAACCTCTCCCTCAGGCTCAAGGTTTTTGCAGTTTCTTGCAGGATTTCTACAGTCCTTTTCTATTTCTGTCCATAAATTCTGACCAGCTTGCTTAAGAAAAGCATGCCCAAAGCATGATGCTGCCACCAACATGTTTCATAATGAGAATGATTTATTCAGGATTAGATTCATTCTTTTAAAACATTTCACCCAAGTTTTAAAATTTTATAACAACACAAACCTATTAAACAAACCTTACATGATGCATATTCGTTTGCATAATAAGGCTTATTTATATAACATAAACAATCACCAGGCTTATGTTTTTAGTATTAACAATGTATATTTCCTCATATAAATATGAATTTGTGTAATTATTTCAAATACATAAAGTTTATTGCTTTAATTGCATAGAAATTTATGTATTTTAAATTAACACACTCATTGGTATTCATTGAGTAAGTGTACTTTATCAATTGTGAATACATAAACTTGACTTTATTTAATATGCGTCCTTTAAGGTTTATTTAATAGATTTCTATAAAAAAAGTACATGAAAATTTGTTATGCAATTAATTAACATAAACCTTACAATTTAGGTGCGAAAGGAGGTCAGTTGTGCTGGATTTTGTTTAGGAATATATAAAAATGCCTGAATACAAACGTATGCCAGAATTAGATTTCTAGTTTGGAAAACATTTAGTAAACTATATAAAATGTTCAGAGTTTACGTCATAACACAACAAAAATATAAGAAGAGATGGGAATACCTTTACACTGCCATCTATCTTAAAATTTTGTGTTTATATGATATGCAGTGTGATCACTTAACAATTTATTTTGTTATTTTTTGTCAAATGTGTAAGTGTATCTGTTTTTATTAAAGGACTGAATTCAACTATTATAATCTACTATTTTAATAATGCTACTTATTTTTCCCAGAATGACATAGACAACTGCAGTGACAGTTCCAGGCCCTCTGCATGTTCCTCTCACCTCAGACATGACCAACGACCGACAGCCCAAATACAAACCATAGGAGCTGCTCTGATTGCTGTTGGAGAGCAAACATTTGTTTGTCTCCTCTGTACAAGCACAGATAGGCCTTGGCTGAATTGACAAGGTGCCCTAAATTGTGTCTTTGACACCTGATCCTATAAGTCAGAACCATTAAAGAAGAAGATTGGGTGTGGTGATAATGTATTGATCAGGCTGTGATGGATGGGCACGGATGAAATATAAGGGAAGTTCTCGGTGGAGATGAAAACAGTCCAGATCCGGCCACCTGAGGGTAGAGACACCATGCTTTCTTTAGCTCTGTTTAACCTTCTCGCTGTAATTTGCTCTGCAACATGGACACATGCTCTGCCGCTTTATCAGGAACCCAATGTGGAGCCACAAGCAGGTAAGGTTCAAAGTCTATGATTAAATAACTGTTTTTAATTAGAAAATATTCTTTCCAAAGTAGTTTTTGTCTTCCTTTAAGTAAAAAAAATGCTAAAAGTCAGAAATATTATTTTATTCCAACAGATTTTATTCAGAAGTTGGTGTCGGAGGTGGGTGATGGTGCCAACACTGCTGAGGAGGAGCAGAGAGAGGTGAATAACCTTTATCCTTTAATGAGGCATCAGAACGGAGGAAGAGACTCCTGGAACAAAGGTGAAACTGGCAATATGTGTAAACATTTAAAGCCAACAGACAAGTGAGACAAATAACTTGACGGCATTAACAGTGAGACTATGTATCCCTTTAGGGGCAAAGGATTCACCACCACAAGAAAATTTAGCAAATATGGTAAGACGATGTTTTCAAAAATATGTTTAAGTTTGTGGAGAATATTTTCAATGATACAGTTTAAAGTTTCTTCACAAAAATGGAAAAAGATGAACCAAATATTTTTTGTTTAAGGCATCAACTTATATTTTTGAAGAAAAACTCTTATAGAATTTCACAATAAATAATTTTTTTTAACCTGAATTATCAGGATGATTGTTTCAGTTTAGATCTTACCAAAAACAAAGGAATTGTTCTGCTTAAATGTCATGAATGTTTTTAGTCTTTGAGTATAATAACTTAGAATAAAATTACCGTACGATAAATGTAGATTGGGACATTTAATCTAACTCATAATTGAAAACTTATGCTGTTTTATATATTTATTTTTTATTTTTTTAGGTTGAAGACCTTAAGGAAGTTGTCCTGAAGCTGGCTGCCGCCGACAAGCTGCGCTCTCAGGGCTTTATCAGATCAGAGCAGAGTCTCCCAAAAACAAACAAAAGAGGTGAGAGGCTACAAATACTCTCTCTGATAAATATTCCACACCTTCATTTACATCCTAGTTAAAAGGATATTATTATCCGTTAGTCAAAAAGGGCTTGTCTTAAGATTTCTATTTAACCTCTAGGGCTTGTTTGAAACAAAAGACATAAAATATATTTAACAAAATAGAAACCTGTATGAACAAATATTCAGCTTGGGCAGGAATGTGTCTTGAAAGAAAAGAAAATTTATTGGCACCTGGAGTCAAGGAAGAATAAAAGCATTGGAGTAAATTAAAGTTTTCGGCAGGAACATTCTCTAGAGTTAAAACAGGATTATTTTTTTGTTTTCCGTCCCCTGCTTGCTGTGTTCAGTGTCAGCATAAACTCTATCCTCCTGCTTTGCTCATCATAGTGCTACTAGTAGCTCTTGTAAAACTTTTAATTGTTGCTCTAACTGTGAATTTTAGAAAATATGACTTCAGTGATGAACTTTAGAAGTTTATAAGTCGTAGCTTTACTTGAATGGCACGTTTTCTGGTCTTTCCCTTTATGAAGCGTTAGTTATACAATGGGCCTCTATGTCAGGTCATATTCATGTGCCAGAGAAACAGATAGTTATGATGACTCATTAAATGGATCAACCCGAAGCAAAATATTTAAAAGAAAAGGTTGCCTTTGTTGGAGATGGTAAATATTTTAGCTCTAAGAATTATAATTATTCAGTTGTTTCTTCATATTGGTTTGTTCCAAAACTGAGCAAAAGTACATGAATAGATGAGGTAGATTTGTTTTTCAGTGGGAGATTATGCTTTTTAAAATTAATTATTGACTTATTTTCAGGATTTGTGGACATTTTTTACAGTAGGTCTCTTTCGAGGATGAATCAAATCTAACTTTAATTTTTTAAAAAACATATAAAGCAATATTTATCAGAGTAGAACCTCTACTTTAGGTGTCGCTTAAATATCGTTTCTGTGTTTTTAATCAAATATCGGTCCAGTCATTTAATCCCTAAATGAACAAGTTTAAACACCAACTTTGGTTGAAAGTGTTTATTTGTAAAACCTTTTAAGCCTTTTAGCACAATTTCTTTCCGATTCAACCTAAACACATTTGCTAATAACCTAATACAAGACATTACATGTCTATTTAAAGATGCTGTGTGTATTGATACAAAGGCATTCAAATCTCTACTTTAATTCAGGTTACAATTGTAAATGTAATTGCAGATTACATTTCTGTTTTAATAAAAAAAGTAATGTTTTAATTAGACCACATGACAGTTCATCAAGTTTAATAACACATTTCTTTTCTTCCTCTTGCAGCTACAGTAAACAACATTTCTTCAACACATGCGGAAATGATAATGAAAGTGCTCAGAATTATTTCAACCAAAATATAGCCAAACTACCTGAAAATGCGTAGAGTAGTTAAACCTTAGAAAGGTTTTGTTTTTCTTAAATGGCATCATTATCATATGAAATTTTCTATAACCGAGGAGGCTATTGCTGAAGCACTGGAAAAGATTTTCTTTGTACTCTTATATATATCTTAAATACGTCTCTGCTTCCTCAGTTTAACCCAATTGGTGTTTCTGTTTGCAGCGTGTTTCTGGAAATACTGTGTGACCAACTAGAGCCCAGCAGACAGATGTTTGGGACTCGTCAGAGGAAAATCCACCTTCCATCTTATTCTTTTCTTTCCCATATAAAAACACACATGTACTGTCTGTAACAGATACAAAAAAGAAGATTATATATTTTTTAAACCTGTAATTTTTTTGTTCTGTTTATGTTTTTGACTGAAATAAACTAGGATATCTTAAACGGCCTCTACGGCGTGTGATTGGTTTTTGCTTTCTTCCAGAGCAACAAAGAAATATAGAGGTGATAAAGAAAAGCATTTATTTCATAGTGTGTTTGTTAGAGTTCATTAAATCAGATGACTGTTACAAACGTTGCACTAAAATTAACTGTCATTTACATGTTTATTCTTACGCAGGTATTTTAAATCAATTGCTTAATATGTCAAAAGCATTCAAATATTAATATTTACATTATAAACAATAATTCTCCTAAATATCCACCAATAGTAAATTGCACTCTGGGCCTTTTTCATCTGTGAGTAACTATAGATAAACATGTGAAAGCATGCCATCAGTTCTGGGTTCTGAGTGTGTCCGCTTCATCAGGAGAGCTTATTCTTATGACAACAGCTCCTTCCACAGATCACTATCTTGGGTATATTAGGTGAGAACAGGACAATAACTTTATGGGATGTGGATTTTTTTATTTCCTCTTGGCAACGCCCAGGTAAGCCTTCTCAATTTCAATGTCAGCCGGACACGTTTGTTTGAACTCCTCCCGTTTGTAGGCGTTTTCAAGGTACCTCCAGACACCAGAGAACTCGGCTGGAATTTCAAAATCGCAGTACTTCTTGGCAGCGACCTGAAAGGGGAATCAAAACTTAGGACTTCTAAGTCACAGTTTGACTTAAATGGCTAGAAAGCTATGAGTAAATTGTGTATTAAAAAGTTTTGAGCTTCACATCCAAAAAAAACCAAATACAGATATATAACCCTATCACTCTCATGATCATCATTTATAAGGTATACACCATACAGAGCCAACAACCATGACAATATTTTCAACAAAATGGGATGAACAACCTTGATTTTGAATTATTATAAATGTTTCTCAGTTGTTAAAACTGATGGTAGCCCAAGATTTTTTTTCAGGGTCTCACTTACAGCCACTGATGCTTAACTAATATTTCCCAATAAATAGTGACCGAGTAATAAATGCCTTAAAATTCATGGCATAGAGGTAATCTAATCTAATCTAATCTAATCTAATCTAATCTAATCTAATCTAATCTAATCTAATCTAATCTAATCTAATCTAATAAATCAGTTGCTATTACTTAATAAATATGACTTTTGATAAAATGTTATTAAAGCTGTCATTGAATTGGGATGATTGGCTAATATTTTACCTTAGTTATTTTGTGGGATGGGCTTCAACATAAATTACAAAGAAGAGAAAGAGAAGCATAAACTGACTGACCCTGCCCTCTAGCATGAAAAGGAAAATAATTTATTTTGCCCAAATTTGTTTAGAAAATGTAATTTTATGCTTTAAAGGTGAACTTTTTAAAGACAAAAGCAGATTAAATTACATAATAGCGGTCAATTCAGTGTTAATGAGATATTAATTTATGGTTTATAATTTTTTATTGTTGTTTTTGTCTCCTTTGATATTCAGATATCTTTCAAAGTATGTAAGTAAGATCTTTTTGATCTTTACATAAGTAAGAAACTACAAGTTTTTGATACGTGTTTTTTCTTTTAAAGACGTTATTCAGAAAAAAGTTCAGTTAAGGTAAAAGAAGAAAATTCTGAAAGTGAAAGTGTTTGATAAATATGAGATATTGGGATTTGCTTTGGTATGTTTTCCCTACTGCTCTTGGGGGCCCACTGCTGGCTGCTGAGCTGTATCCAGCCAATTGTTTTGCTAAAATATCAGGCAGCTTTAGATTATTTAGAAGAAATTATTTAGCTCTCCTCTTCTTTGAATAATAGCTCTGGTGTTGTTCTGCAATTTAACATCAACATTCAGCTAAAAAATGATATTTTAATGTGTATGTTTCAAACATCACTTCTATTAAATGACCAGTCATTTTACATTTCCTACTTTTTATTAATTTTCAAACCACAAAAATAAATTTATTAATTTTATTTTTAGAATTAGAATTAAAAACTTTAAATATTCCTGTTTTTTTCAAAAGTATTCCTTTGATTACTTTTAAACATTTTTAAAGCTTGTCTCACCCTGATGACGTGCAGCTTGGGCAACAGGTTGCAATCGGCTAAGGTGAGCCGGTCGCCATCCAGAAACGTCCTCTTGGAGACAGTGATGTCCTCTGCCGAGTTGTGATCGATTTCTTCTGGGAGTGGGCTGTTCAAGTACTTGTCCAAACGCTGAAACTCTCTCAGGAGATTTTTTTCTTGGGCTGTAGTATAACAGAGATTGTTCACTGTAATTATGTTTTTGTCTCAGTATTACTTGCTTTTTTAGTAAAGTAAGAAAAAAGAATGACTGAGTAAAGGTTAAGCTCTCAATGTGGTAAAAAATGTTACAAACAATATATGAAAATATATAAAAATCATTTGAAAGCCATTTAAACAAAAGTTTCACAAATCTGATGATAGGAGGGTCACCATCAGTGTGTGTGAATGGGTGGAAGTAGTGTAAAGCGCTTTGGTCAAGTCTCCTGACTTGAAGAAGTACATATTTCGAGTGACACCAAACATGATAATATATAATTTTGTATGAAAACACAAAAGGATATTTGTCATAAAATGTTAGTCTAGTCAACCGCTGAGATAAGAAATACGTCTGTCAGGGTTCCTGTGTGTGGGTTAGTCAGAGTTGTGCATCTCTAACATAGAGGATCTTTGTGGAGAACCTGGATAGCCTACACAGGTGAAAATAATCGTTCTAATCATAGTGCTGGGCTTAAAAGAGCACCTTCATTCAGTGCTGGTTTGTTGTGTTGTATATGTTGTTTTGTGGCTTTCTAGTCTCTTGCCTCCTTCGAGTATTTTTCCTGACGTTTATTGGTTTTGTTTGGTTTTCTGTATTTTGGATTTTTGCATCTGTTCCCCTTAGACTTTCATTAAACCATCCAAACTCATCCGTGCCTACTCCTCTCTGCATTTGGGTCCTCAAAACCTCGACACAACCAGACAGAGTCTTTGAAACATCAAGAAGCTCAAGAGAGAGATACTACAGTTAACTATAATCTAATGTGATGGTCTATGTTGTACTTCTGACTTTTTTGCAATTCAAGGGATTGAATAACTATGAAACACAAAAAACTACTTTCTAAGACATCAGGATAATCTGTTGGCCTTGAATATCAGACATCTATTCATGGGACAGTGAAAAATACACCTTGTTGGCCTCTCTTTTCATACTAGTTTCTACAGATGTAGAACGTAGGCTGACAAAATGTTCACTTTCAGAACTTGGGGTCTCTCCTTGAAAGGGGTTTCAGAAGGTTTAAACACATGTCTGAGACATAGGAATCAACAACTGAGTCATGCATTTATCACACCCACAGCTCACAAAGGTTAAACTCTTGTAAGTGATTCAGTGTTGTTCCTTTTCTGTGATGGACAAAAGCCTTCCTGAGTCTCTTTTTCTGTCTGTGTGTTTAAACACATCACTGTTTCCTGATAGTTATGGCTTTCAGGAGAGCAGCTACCCTCTTAAAAGGATATGCAGCTGGAAATTAAATTACTTACTTTGATTGGTAACAAGTAATTTCATTAAATTAGCGTAATATATCACCAAGTTTTGCCATAATTTTGAGGATCTGAGAGAATGAATTTATTCATAGCAGATTTTTATATTGAAAACCCTATATAATGGTTGAGGTTTGAGGCTTATTTAATATAAACCATAAAATTAACTTATCTAAATGGAGCAACAAAGCAAGGTGTTTTGTCAGACAGTATGGGATTATTTTCCACTGTTATGTTGATGATACTCAGCTTTAAATGTAGAAGAACCTAACTCAGTCACTTTATCTGGATGGCATTAAATTTGTCTCAACAATTGGAGTTTATTTCGTTTATTCAAACTTGTCATTCAAATCCCATATTAAAGAGGTTTCTAGAATTTACTTCCTCTTTAAACAAAATGTTGTCAAAAGCCTTTGGGGGATCCAAAATGCTGCATGAAAATTAAAAGAGAGATATTTGTACTGTTATAGATTTCTACAGCTTCCCTTCATTGGCCTCCTGCTAAATCCAAGATAGAATTTTACACACTCTTTCCCATGTATATTGTAAATCCCTGAATAACAGAACTCCATTTTATATCAGAGATCTAATTGTTCCTTTTGTTCCTAATACAGCAATTTACTCTCAATCTGGAGATTAACTCATGGTTCCAAGGAAATACATTGGAAGTCGGATCTTTTAGTTATCAGGCTCCTGTGGAATCTGGTTCCGCTTTTAGTCCATGAGGCAGACACTCTGTCTACTTTCAGGTTAGGCATTAAATTTTCCTTTTTGATAAATAGATATAGATCGATTATAGATATAGAGTGGCCAAGATCCTGTCAAAACAACCCATTTGCGGGCCAAGCAGGTTGGATGTGGGCTGGTGAGTGTGCCCCATCTGGGCTGCACAGCTGGGTCCCAGATATTTTTGTCTGGGGGTTCCATGGTGGCCCCATGTGGCCAAGCTCAGATGGGCTGAGGGTGGGTTTCACTTGGGCCCCATCTAAAAAAAACACAGGTTTCTCCCACGTGGTTCCCAACAACAGAGCCCACTCAGAGTCCACGCCTATCTGAAGCCCATCCAGCCCAAGTGAGGACCATATGTGAGCATTGGTTATTCTGAGCTGTTTCTACAGTAATGCTGCTATAGGTTTAGGCTGTTGGAGGACACCAGGGGCACTTTTCATCTTTCTACTTTGCTCTACTGTTTACCAATTTTGGAATATTTGTTAGTTATATCTCCTACATTCAATTATGATAGTGTTGGTCCTGTTTTTCAGTGCTTAATCCTGTTTCTCTTCTAGAAATATCTATGTGGTCAGCTCTTACTGTGACAAACCATAAGGCTTCTCTTTCATCTATTTTGACATTAAAATTATTTCATAGTTCATCTGCTTAGCTGCTTTCATAGATAGAACCAACTATAGAGCTAGTTCCCTGTTGCCTTTAATAACTGCTAACTAAGTTTTCATGGATCAGTGCTACCGTGTTCCTATTATATGTCCTTTTCTGTCTCGTTGACCTTGGCAAAAGCCAGCTCACTCTGAGCCTAGCTTTGCTGGAATTTTCTTCCAGAGTAAAAAAAGAGTGTTTCCTCTCAACTGTTGCTCCATGCGACAGTGAGAGACAATGCAAGTGAATGTCTACAATTCCCACATACTCATCAAGGAAAAGTGAATCCTGCAAAGTCAAAGACTCAAGGCTATCTTTTTTTTTTTTTTTTAATAAAACCTTTTTCACCAATCTGAAAGCATGACTCAGTTGAATTGTCTCTGTAAAGTGCCTTGATAAAACATGTGTTGTGCATTGGTGCTATATAGATAAACTGAATAATCTGAATTGAATAAAAATTTTATACATAAAAGGTAAAAATTCAGGGCTGTTCACATTATTCTGGTAATCTAGAGACAGGTCAGTAACTGCTACTAAGCGGAATCTAATTTGGATTTGTTACATTTGGCACTTCTATGTAGCAGAAAATTAAATTAGAAACCAACTTACCAGCATTGTTTGGGCTGTTCTTGATGAAAGCGGAAAACTTTGCAAAAATGTCAGAACCCACGTCAAAAGACTCTTTGTTCAGTGGGCTGAGATGGGGATACCTTGAATGGAAAAGGGAGATTAGAAACCTTAATGTTTGCTTTGATTCAAGAGCCAGCAACATGATAAGACTCCTTCTTCACTTGGTATTTGCAAAATGATTAAGTGCAACAATACCTGGGAGGTGCCAGTGTTTGTTCGAGGAATTCCTCAATTTTAATGAAGTCTGTTTTAAGGATGCCGTTATAGAGAAGAAAAGGAGGGTTTGTCCCTGGGGCCAGATCTTTGAGCTCTGCTGGCTTCCTGGAGAAGACAAGAAAGATGAAGAAGGGTGCAACACTGCAATTCGGTTATCAAGATTTTCAGCAGTGAGCTTAAGTTGGCTTCTAAGAGCTGTCAGTATTAAACATGCTGTTGGGTTTACACAGCTCTGGGAGTGGTCATTTTTTGAAAGGCCTGCGTGTGTGTGTAATGAATCCCTCATTTATCTACATCCTTACAAAGTTTCCTGGCCTCATTTGCCTGTTGGTTCTGACCCTGAGAAATCAACACAATAAACTTATAGAAGGTGTTTGTTTGAAAGCAACACAGAGATCTTTGTACTTTTATTTTTTTTACAGGCTCGTCTGGTTAACCTTGACAACACTGTGTGAGAAAACGCTTTGTTTGGCTGATGAGAAATGGTTTGGATTTCAGTAAAATATCTCTATGGTGTTCTGTGTGAAAGTCCCCAGGACCAGATGCTCAGGAAATGTTTTTTTTTTTTTTTGGAAGGAGCAGAGGGGTGCTTACTTCCTCATATCAACAGTGGTCACTGTAAACTTGACTCCTTTCAGCCACAGCACCATGAAAAGCCTCTGGCAGAAAGGGCAGTTCCCAATGTTTTCACCATCGTGCCCAGCCTATAAAAAAAAAAAAAAAAGAAGAAGAAGAAATTATGTTAGAAACATTTTTTTTTTTAGCTTATCAGCAATGTTTTGTCTAATCCTGTCAACTAATTCCCTGATCTTTCCTCCTAACTAAAATATTATTCTCATCGCAAGACAACTGTCTGGGACATGTAAAGGCCATTTTCTCGTTGGAAGGCAAACACATACAGCTCCAGTCTTAGCTGCCGGTGATCAAAGCCAGAGTCAAAACTTCTGCCAAGACTTACAAGATGCAGTTTTTTGTTTATAAATGTTAATAAAGAAAGCATGGTGGCCCAGGGGTGTTTTCTGGAGTGAGTAAAATGGCCACATGCCCAGCTCCAGTCAGCTGAGGCAGCTCCTAAAAGAAATAAATCAACAGCTACACATAAAAATGTAAGTTAATGAAAGATGCTGGAGCTGGTATTTGAATAAAAAAAAAATATTTCACTTAAATACCAAAAATGAAAGAGTTATTTTGTTTGGACTCCATTTACAAATCTCTGGATTTAAATGTCCCAGATTTAGACTGTTTAGAGACCAGATGCATTGTCCTACTCTGAAAAGTGATTCTATCCATCCTATGCATAGTGTTTTTCTTTATTTATCAGTAACATGGAGGAATAAAATAACAACATATTCTTTTTTTTTCATCACAAGCTGGAATTTACCAGTTGTTTTTGGATAGGTAAAATAAGGGGTTTGTCCAGAGTATCATTTGATTAAGATCTACCACCACCTGATTTGCTGAACCTTCATTAGTTTTGGAAAATAAATGATTATTTAAATATTTTAACAAGATGAGATGTTTTTGTCATACTATTAACCTTGCCCATGACTGCAAATCAATGACCAACACCCTTTACTTGCTTGTTTCTGACCAAACATAAAATGATTCATGGACATCTTTAAATGTGTGCTGGTCTAAAGTGGGTGTGCCTGGTGGTTCAAGCTTGAGGCTCTCTCCATGTTCTCCTCTTCTGGGTGTGCAGTGATAACGTTAGCACAGTCTGTCGCCTAAATTCACTGATAACAGACTGGTCTGACAGCGGAGGGATACAAACATGTTAGGGGAAACAGCTTCCTCACATGGTATCTGGAAACAGATCCTGAAAGAAGGAAGCCTGTCTGAATGGTTCTGTTCAGGTAAATAGGAGTTGTTTTTTTGCTGTTTCTGAGCAGTAAACCTTTTTGTTTGTCTTTTTGACTTAAAAGCAGATAGTTCAAGCAGGAATACTTTGTTTAGTTTTTTTTTTTTTTTTACACATCAAACTTTAGTCATTTTAACTGTTCTACTGGTAATTCATCTGTTAGAAAAGAGTTAAATAGACAGAAATAACTGACCTTAATGAACAGCTCGATGTTAGGCTCCTTTTCTGAGTTTTGTCGAAGTGCCATGTTGAAATTAAATAGGAAAAAAAAATCACAATCTTTTTTTTTTTAAACACCAAAAAAATTGTTCCAGGAAAATATTTTCCTTCAAATGATCCCCAAAAATCCACTAAAACCAAATGAAAAAGCTGGAAAAAGTGTTTTCAAAGAGTTTGTTAGTAGTGTTAGATGTCAGATGTCCCCTCACGCCTGCTCCTTGTGGGGTATCGCTCTAAGCTTACTTCACAAACCAAGTAGAGGGAGGATCTGCAGAGAAATGGGGCGGGAACAGCAGAGTCTCACTCTCTTATATGAGGAGAAGGCTTAAAATAGTTTCCTTGCTTATTGTGATACACAGGAACTGATAAGGAGAAGTGACTCAAAACATAAAAAAAGACATCAACACCCTTACACAACGTGAGCTGTAAAGAAAATAGGAAATAAACGAGTAATTACCTCACCTATTAAAGATATATCCCATCTGCTTTGGATACAGGAAAGTAAATAAAATCTCCACTTTATCCCATTTATCTTCACATGTGATAATCTGAGAAACACAAGTGGATACATTTTGAGATAACTGTTAATTCTTTCCTTGAGCCACAAGATTTTCACATTCTTTAGAGTGATCATGCTTCATGGTTTTGTTGGGACTCTGCTTTTTCATTTGGGGTTACTGAAATGTTGGAGTAATGAGCACAAACACAGTACGCTTTGGGTAAACATTAACAGAGACATTAACAAATGAGAACACCTTACTTTTTAATCAATTTGAATGGTTTTTAAATGGTTTGAAGAAATAATTTGGCCAAATCTCATCCACCATAAGTGGCTGCAGTTCATAGAGTTCCTCATGGTTTGGTTTGTAGCACGGTTTAAATGTTTCCACCTTTATTGTTGGATTCCTATCAAAATAAACTAATAAACTGTATTCATATTTTTAACTATTTTCAATCATGCTTCGGGTTAATGTTACTTAAGTAAAAGAGGAATTAATCCAGAGAAGTTTGCACATCTGTCTTTAAATGTGTGTTTATGTAATGTTTGCTTTGTGACCAACCCTAATAATTACCCTTCCTATTTTGAAATACTGATTTAATTTAGTGTTCTGAAGCTGTGATACAGAGCCTGAATATTTTTTTTGTATGTTTCAGTGTGTTAAAATCCTTATAAAAACAGCAAAAAAAAAAAAGTTTATTTACGTTTAGTTTATGATTAATTTTTCTTTTTTATATCATTTGTCTTATGTTATATTCCCTTTAAGGGTCGATAAAGACAAGATCTGCTGTTTAACTGTTGAAGCAAATTAGATATTTCATTCAAAAATATTTTACTATAGATTTCCACTTTTTTTGTTTTACTCCTCTAAACTCTTTTTGTTTTGTTTTTTTTAGATAATTTGATTTGAATTATATGTTTGTACCGTAACCTTGGGTTCAATATTCGAGGGTTCAGTGAATATTGATTCCGTGGGCTCATTTAAAGGAACCATCATATCTTTGTCCTACTGTAGCAGGATTCTGGTTCTCACTAACAGGAGATTTATGCTTTTGGTGAAGGAATGGGGGACCTGATCATTCAGTATCAGGCGGTCTACCTACAGCCATACTATCTAGGTCATGAAGGGAAGAGAAAGAATGAGATCAAGGATGCATACAGCTGGAATGAACTTCCTGAAGGGACTTGGAGTCTTGGTCAGCTGAGGTAGATCAAGCATTTGCTCAGAAGGCCCTGGACAGAGTACTTCAAGTCATTTCCCATTAGAAGGAGGACTGGGGGACGACACAGGAGGAAATACCGGTATGTCTCTCTTTGCCTAAGAACATACCCAAACAAGCTGGAGGAGGTATTTGTGAAGAGGGAAGTGTAGAATTAAACTGTTTCTCCTTTGACCCACTCACAAATAAAACATAAGATGGCTACAAGAACAAGTATACTCAAATATTTTCAAACTCAACATAAGAAATTCAGTCTGTATCCAGCCATTCTTGTTGGATCTGATTGTCCTTGATACACACAACCAGTTTAAATTGTAAAAGCCAAGATGCTAAATCTGGGTTCACAGAAAACCCCCTTCTAATATTTGGCTGTTGTTGTTTACAACTTAGGAGAGATATATTTCTACCGTGTTAGCCTTTACCTGAGAGCATTAGGCCATCCAGCTGCTGCCTCTGTGTTTAGCAGATTTCTGAGTTTTCTCTTTTTAATAGTTAAGTGATGCATAGATTTTTATAGATTCAATATTGTCAGTTGTAAATACAAGTTGGTATCATCGATTGAATTGCAAATCAAACATGAATGAACAGAGGGTCTATCATATAGAACAGGGGTAACCAATTAAAAATGAGCAGGGTCTGAATAATTAAAATCAACAACCAGTAAAGGTCTGGAGACATTTTTAATCATAATAAAACTGTTAATTTAAACAGAATTTAATACTCAAATAAATTAAGGTGCTTATGCATCCATGTTATACATTGCACATCTTTAGATCTGTAAAAAGAACTCCCAATAAAGGCAAACAGTGATTCATATTTACAGAGGCTTCCCTAGAAGTTGAATCAACACTTCAAAATTTGCTGTGTGCAAGCATCAACAGTAGGGTTTTGAAATGTATTCTCTGAGCTACGGGGAGCCAGTGAAAGGACATCAGCACTGGGCTGGTGTGTTCTACTACTGGGAGCAGCCTTCTGCCGAGGCACGCTGGAAGTTTGAGAAGACAGAAGCGGACACACAAAATTAACAGAAGCAACGATCCATGTTATTCCATATAATTGTTTTCAGTGTTACAGAAGGTAACAGTTAATAATTCCCTAGGTTACTCCTTCTATGAAAGAAACATGCAGATGAGGTCTGTGTTGGTGGTCAGACCCAAAAAGGATGAAAAAAAGCACATACAGTTAGTCACAGATAAAGCTGAGCTCAAAGCTATATGTAGGAACCAAGCCAGCTGAAGTTACAATAATGACAAAATAGCACAGATAACATAAAGTTTGAAAGAGAAAAATGTAGAATAGATGTATGTTGTAGCACAGTGAGATAAAGTGGACCCTATGTCCTCCAGCAGCCTCAGCATTTAGCAGCATAACTATGTATGATTTTAATCTCTGACTGCCATGTGGGAGACCTGGGTCTGAATCTTGGTTGCAACAGGAATGACCTCCGGCAAGAAAAGTGTAACAAATAAGTGATAATCACTTCCTGTGGAAAAATAAGAGAAAAGCCAAAAGGAGACAGGCAAGATTATCACCTTGTGAAGGGAAATTAGTTAAATCGCTGCCATCTGCAAAGTGAAACCAGTTATAGTTGCCATCTTGGTTTATCTTAAATTGATATTTATGGGTATCTAGGGGCCAGATACAAAAGCTCCCCTCTGGGGGTCAAGTGGAGTCCATGCCTCAAAGACTCAAAATGGGAGACAACCCACGATAAAGCAGGTGTGCATAGTTTCAGTTTATTCTGTTTTGTTCAATACATGAAAATGTCTTCTCTAGTTCTCCTTTTTTTCTTTTGAGTAATGTACTGAAACCTGTTGGGGATTCCCTTAATGTAGTGTAACTAAAAAGACTAGGTGCTTTTTTCTTTCTGACCTTCTCCTTGATTTCCTGTAAAGTGCAGCTATTACTATTCATATATAAATTGTTTTTTTAACAAAATAAAATCAGCTCAGTATTGTAATCATCTGTGAAAACTTGTGATATCTTGTTGAAGATGAATGTGGCTAAAGGCTGCTGACTTCAGTACTCGTGTTTTTTGGGAAATGGTCTCATTTACACAAAACTGTGGAAGGGAAACTTTACCACAAAATCCCCCATTATGGGAAATACTTCCCTGAAGAAATGTGTCCAACAAAAGAGAAAGATTGTGAAATCCATTTTGAGGAACTTGAAAACACATGTAGTGAATATATTACTTGGAGCTGCCTATTTAGTTGGCAGGCCAGACAGGGTTGGGGGGGGTTCATACTTTTTTAAAGCTTGAAGAGCAAATAAACAAAATATCACAATTACGGTAGATAAATTGTGTAGGAAAATCTAAGCGAAGTATCCTCCTTATTCAACTCTTCTGCTAAGAGAGGTGATGACCTGAAATTTTGAAACCGTCTTGACCCCAGGTTTTCTTTCTTCTCTCCATTGGTGCATTCTCGGCAGGCGCTTCCAAGGAACGATAAATTTTTTATCCATACTCCCTCTGGGAGGCAAAAGGAATTTCGGCGCACGATGTGATGGGAGTATCCCTCCCACATGTGGACATCGTTTAAATGTTTAAGAGTGTGTTTCTCTCTAAGAGCAATCTGTCTCCATTTGTTAACTGCTGGTCCAGCAAAGCAAGTGTTTATTTAAACCTGTGGGATAAATGATTCAAATGATTGGTCAGAAGTTCATTTTTAATTCTCATGTTTGTGTTTAGGCTGCTTCTGGTTTGGTTGCCATGAACAGAGTTCATTTGCCTTTAGTTCTATTTGATTCCTTTCAATTATTTTCTTTATGTACAGTAGTTCAACATGAGATGTTTTTCATGAATCCCTGCTGAACTTGTCATGTTAGGAAAGTATTTTGCTGTATTTTACTTCCTCTTCTCTACGAAAAATAAAGGAAAGCCCCTGTGCCATGGAGAAAGTAACACATATCTTCTCCCTCAGAGCAGCTGGAAGTGACCTCTTGGAAAAAAAAAACAGAGTCTTATCTCCCTAAACAGGACCCTAACAGGAGAGAATGGAGTCCTCCACACACACTGAGTCATGAAAGTCCGGTATTAAGCAACACCCTATTTTTTTTATATTTTCGCATTCTTTTTGTTAAGATGGCTGATTTGATTTAATGTTTTCACTGTCTTAGGGTCAGAAACCAAGGGAACAGAGGATAAACTTCACATAAATGCCCTGCCCTACTAATTAAACAGTGACACCACCTACCCCCTATTTCAACACTGATATTTATTTATATTCCTAAGACTTGCTAATCTAAGGTAAACCTGCAACACATGAGTCACTTTCAAAGGAATTTTTAACACCATTAACTATATCAAACAAACACTAATGTATGAATAAATTGAGTCACATTCCTCACTAAGTGGTTGCTAAGCTGCAAAAAGCATTAAACAGAGTGACAGAATCAATCATTAGAATCTCATTTATCTCATTTTATCAAGTTTTCTTGATCTGAAGATGTCCAAAAATGATTAACCCAATATTGCAGAGTATGTGATATACCCTAATGGATTTGGTCTTTTAACACCTAATAAAAGAGCTCTGAATATCCTTTGCACAAAAGTGGCCTTGTTCTACCAGGTTGAACTCCACCTGGCCATGTTGTTTAGAAACAGGATTTTTTTCCCTAAAGAATTGGAATAATTCTTTAGGAACAAGATCTGTTTCCATTGTATCACTGGTTTTTCAAACAACAATATCCTTCTATTTCTTCACTTGGAATCAGAAGACCATCCGACTTGAGTGATGGAGTACACACACACATATATATATATATATATATATATATATATATATATATATATATATATATATATATATATATATATATATATATATATATATATATATATATATATTATATATAAAATTATTAGCAAAAAAATAAAATAAAATCACCACTCTCCCTCTTTTTTAATCATAATTGCATTTAGACAGTTTCAGTGTTGGTGACGATCTTAACAGGAAGATGGCCCTATTTTACATTCTGCTTAGAGTTCTGTGCCACATACCGACAAGCTGTGTACTGATATAAAAGTTTCAAATCCACTTTCAAATATGTCACCTTGCTAACGTCCTGTAACAGTGGGCTGTGCTGCAGGCCAACTTTGAGAAAACGTCCTTTTTGTAGAGCTGAGTTTTGTTTACCTCTGTTCTACAGCTGAAGATATTCATATCTTTTTAGATTTATTTGGATTTGATAAGTGTTAAATTTTTTCACTAAGTAGATCTGTATCTGTCTTGTCCCCTGTCTATTTAATTTGGATTTAGTTTTCATTTTATATCAGCTCCTCATCCTGTGCTTGTTCCCACATCACTGACAACTTTCTTTTTTAATCTTTCATTTTCTTTCACTCCACACAGGATCCTACTGGTGTCAGCCTCCAAATATCTAGTTCTTGTTCTTTCTTGTTTTGTTTGGTCTTTGAATTTCTTTAAAAAAAAAAAGGTTATTTTTTGGAAGAGATTAAATTCAGATGTATGAACAACCTTCTGATTGCTCTTAAGAGCCAGCAAGTTAAAGTTAAAGCTTGGATGAAATATGTTTTTGTAAAATGGGCTCTAATATAATTTTTTGAAGGTGGTTAATCTAAAACATCTTGGATAAAAGATGTGTGGTAAGGATGCAGTCCTATGACTTATGCGAAAGAGAAACAGTACACTAAAGCAAAAGTGAAATGAGAGAGAGAAAGAACTTTCATTCCCTTGCCTCTTCTTGTACCTACAGGAAAATCTGCATCTTGATTCATAAGTGAAGAACTACATTTTTATGTTATGAAAGAAAAACTATAACACTATGCCAAAAAACATAATAGACTAAAACAAGTTAATTCAAAAATTCTAATGGAAAATTCAGGTAGTAATTTTTGTAAGATAAACAAAATTCACTTTTCAGCATATTTCTTCCCACAACACCGCAATGTTTCTCAATAACTAATTAGATTTTTTTCACTTACTGACAAACACAGAAGCTTGCAAACATTTTTTCAGTATTTTGCAGAATTGCTTTTAAACTGTATGACCTGCACAGTAAATCCCACAGTGTTGAATATGTAGTGTGTAAGTACATTGACTCTGTAAGAGTTATTACTACAACAACTAGACTAAAATATACATTACATAGATTTCTAATTTAACACTAATTCTGAGTTGGACAAAATGCACGCCTAAAGTGTTGCTTTTATACTGCAATATTTACTGTGTGGGTAAAATAATGTGGTGTTCTGTTTGACAGAACTTTGGCCCATCCTGACACACCTGCTGCAGCCAACTAGAGGTTTGTAAAACACACCTTTTCAGCTGAGATCATATTCTTTAGAACATTAACCTTTATATGCTTCATACACAATTTCACCATTTTGGCCTCATCATACAGAAAATGGTGATTTAGCCAATTTTAGCTAGGTTTTAACCCTCCATGTGTTTAAGATGTTTAATATTTTTGCAAAATGTTTTTTTTTCTTCATGTGTTTAGCTTTTGCAGAGTGTCTCCATAAAGTTAAAAAAGTTAAAAAACAAACCAGCCTCTGCAAAGGGGAGCCATTTGGATCATTGTCCAGTATCATTGGCCCGTATCGGGTCTTACAGGCCAACAACAACCTCAACGACTCCCCATTAATAAGGGATGGAACTGTTTTTTTCGTTTCAGTTTGTGACCTGTCATAGAGAGGATCTTTGCTCCTGGTTGGCCTGAGAACGTTTCTCAATCCAGATGACTATGTATGTAAAGAGGCAAAGGATTATCTCTCTTTGCTGGATGATTACCCTTGATGGTATTCCAGCCAAAAACCTAAACCAGGAATTTCCTTCTTGTGGAAATTTGTCTTCTTGTGAATCTTGTGGATGTCCAGGAAAGGACCAACCAGAACATTCAACTTACTTATGCAGCTACCCGCTTCCAGATACTTGGTGCTTTTTGTAAATAAAGCATTAAAATTCCCTGGTTCTCCGTGTGTTTCTGCATTTGGAACAAAAAACTACAAACCAATATGACAATTGTCTGATTTTAACTGCATGTTCTGCATTAATGATCACTCATGCATGGGGGTGTTTTCCTTTTCCTTGTTGTTCTTTTTTTTTTTTTTTGTTGCAGATACAAAGGCATCATTGAGCCTTTTCCAAACACAATAACCCATTTCGTCAAATCCCAGTGCTCTGTTGCTGAACACTAACAATGCCAGAAACATGGAGTTTCTTTATTCTTACATGCTTCTTTTTCTTTTTCTGGCTCTGAAGACACCCGTTGCACATTTGGCACCTGATTTCTCTCGTAAGTTCCTCCTTTTTTTTTTATGTGTGAGAGAAAATTGCTGATACGTGATTTTCCAATTGTATTGGCTTCCACAACAGGAAGCTCCAGAAAGATATTTCCTAATAACACGCACATCCTTCTTTCGAAGCAGCAGCTTATTCTGCAGTTGAGATACGAAAATGAGGGAGGACAAGTCTGCAGAAAACGTTAGAGAATACAACCAAATATTTAGCATTGAGGTGTTTTTTTTTGGGGGTGCAGTAAAACATATGTTTTTTTTGGTTCTAGTATTGATATTGTAAAACAATTGTTTTGAACTTAATGTATTTGATAATAGTTGATAATTTTGTCTGGTTTCAGGCTAATAATAGCTCTTTGTGAATAAGTGCCTGGTACAGCCTGAGATCTGCAAACAGAGAGGACACAATGCCTTTTATAAAGCTTTCATATTTCTTACCTTTTCTACATTTTGTTATACTGCAACCTTAAAATTAAGTTGTATTTTAATAAGGTATTATAAGGTAGATTTGCAAAAACAGAATATTTATGGAAAGAAAATGACACAAAAATAAAACTTTAAAAATGTGACCTGTATTTGTATTCTACCCTTAAACCATTAAATACAATCAAGTGGATCAAACTGCCTTCCACCTGTTCATGAGGGGTCTCACACATTTGCAAAATGATTGCCATTTTTTTTTATTTCATGTCTTCTTCTTATTATTAGAAAAATCCTTTTAATAATGTATAAATAGATAAACTTCAGAGGAAATAAAAATATTGATAAAGGTATGGTATGTGCACATGAACGAACAGACATTAATTTTATACGTAAAAAGAAGAAAAAAGATAAGTTGTGATAGGGCAAATATCTTTAATTTTGCTTAAAAGCAGAATAGCTGTCTAATCTGTATCTGTGGCCACTGGAAAGTCAATTCTTTTGTATCCAGAATGTGTGAGTTCAGCAGAGATGCTCCAAGACCTGTACAAGTCCTTTTTGAAAGAAATGTTAACTTTGATAATCTTCTCTGCAGATCTTATTGTTTGTTGCAGTTTAGACCTGTCCTGTTTTATGCACTAGCCAAACCCTACATGTAGAAGATGAGCAGCAGTTCTTGTGGAGGGTTTTATTTCTTGAGTGACAGCAGGTAGGACAGTCTCTTCTGAGCCTTCTTCTGAACACTGGCTGTGTGCGACCAGCTCAGGTCCTGAGAAAGGTTTGCTCCTAGGAGGTGGAGGTGATCCACAGTAGAACCAGTCTTGTTAAATGTGGTGAGGGGAGGCAGTATGAGGGAAGTTCTCTGGAAGTTCATCTTTATTTCCTCAGTCTTTAATGGGTATAGATCCAAATGGTTCTGAGTGCACCAGTAGACCAGCTGATACTATCTGTCATCAGGCAGACTAAACACTTCCCTGGAGGAGATTAGAGAACTTCAGGAGTTTCAAAGACAGGTCCACGAAGGAATGAGGTGTAGTTATTTGAGTACAGAGAGAATTGAAGCGTGGAGGGGACACACCCATGGGTGGTGACCCATATTCTTCCAATTTTCAATCATTTGCTACTTTGTGTTATCCTATCACATAAAATCTCTATAAAACACAGAGGTTTGTCGTGACACTGTAACAAATGTGAACAACTCTTGTGAGGCGACACCCGTGTCCTCTAGAAGTGATTCATTGTTCACTAAATCTGGACCACAGTCCTGGAGTTTTTCCGCTCTAGTAAAGGTGGATCCCTTATGAGAACATCAGACAAACTGTACACTCACAAGAGACGGGGGGACTGTGCAGGAAATACAAATGGGAGTGGACTCTTAGCTTGGTGTCTTTGTGTTGCTGTAAAACATGATTGTCTGTGTGGTCATAGTCCAAACATTGTCTTGGAAAGCTACACCCAGAGACGGAGACCCAGGGACACCACCCTGTCCACAAGCGGAAGCAGGAATGACTCATATGTAGTCTAAAATAAAATAAAAGGAAAACCTTATTTTATTTCAAGTGTATAAACCATATTTTTTTTAAACATAAGATTAGTTGATTGAAATGTATAATACATACATTATCTAAGTACAAACACATGCAAAATGAGTCCCATTCATGCCTTACAGATCACTAGCTGGTTAAAGGGGCCTTTTTAATTTATAAAAAATTGATTAGACTTATTCTTAGGTGGAAAGATTGGAAAGATGATGTTATCCCATCATATGTGGCTTTCAGTGTATCTCCACAGTATTCTAAAGAACCACACGGCCCACGCTTGTGACGGAGACCTGCTTGTCATCAAGTGTCCTGCCAGGACATCTGTAGCTGTCCTATCAGCCTTCTACGGAAGACGTGTTCCTTATAAACACTTATGTCCTGCAGCAAGCATAAACGACACAGTGGAGGAGGACACAGATTGCACTTCTTCAACTGCTTTAGAAGTAAATGAGACAAAAGTAAATCATTTAATCATGTGGAATAAGGCCGTCAACAGATGTTTTCTGGCTGTTGCAGAAGGTACTATCAGAGTGTCAAGATGAGCGGACCTGTCACCTACCCGTCCTCGCTCAAGTGTTCGGACCAGATCCCTGTCCTCTCACCACCAAGTACCTCTTGGTGTCCTACAAGTGCAGACCAGGTACTTCAATTAGCATAAAGGTTTAAAACGAACTGGTAAGCATATGCTTTCTTTATTTGGTTCATCCCTATATATATATATATATATATATATATATATATATATATATATGTATATATATATACGTATATACTTGAGTAATATANTATATATATATACGTATATACTTGAGTAATATACATTCATATGAGGATTTGCTAGCCGCTTACAGAGGTTTTAATTATAATCAAATTAAACAAATTTGAATAATTATTTGTGCATAATTCTGAGTAAAGTAATAAATCTAAATATAAGCCACAAATCAAGAGGCCTTCCAAATTTGAACACTTGAAGTTAATCACCAAAGATGAATGAAAAAAATCTGTTCTGGTTGAATGAAAATGTTTGAGATTTAAATCTGCCAGAATTGTGAATCATTCTGTATGGTATCTGGGTATGAACTGATAATGAGAATATGTTGGGTCATTACATATTTTGAAGAAAGTTTTGATGTATGTTTTCACTTTTACAATTCTGTTTTCTTTTTCACATCAGAAAAATCCTGATACTTTAGTAGAGATGTGCAGACCTTTTATTTATACAAAACTCAAAGTCACTAAATGTACACTTCTGAAATAATTGGCAAAGATCCAAATTTACTTATTTAAACTCTTAACACTATAGCTGACTTTTGTTGTTGTTGTTTTTGTCGAATATTTCTATATTTTTTTTAGCTTTTATATTATTAATAAGGCAATATTGTCTTATTGTTCTTACTCCAAAACAATCCCTTCTTTGAGGTTAATGAAAATCTTTATGAGTATACATTTGATCATTACATTTAAATTAAAGTTATTGATAATGCTACTTAATAGAATAGAATAAAAAAAAATCCCTTTCTTGTACCACAATGGGTAAATTGTAGTGTTTACAGCAGCAAAGGTTGTAGTAGAAGTGGTCACACAATGTGCACCTTCGAAATTGTATGAAAATAACAGATAGGAAAATAAAACCAACATTCTGTTGTGAAGCTATGGTATGAACCACCCACCTTATCAGAGCATCAAACTATCGACCGCCCTGGCCCCCACCAGAAAAAACGTTAATTCCCAGAGAACATCCACAGGAAGTGGTGAAGTAGGCCTGAGGTCCACACCCAGTATCATTCAGGATCTGGTGCATACTTCCTGAAGCCAGACGCCAGAGGACACCCAGAGCTGTCCCATTGGTCAGTGGGTCAGAAATCCTTTGGAGGCATAGGCAGATTTTTTTCTCTTACTTAACCAAAACTCTGCGACAATCATCTTCTTACTCTATGTATGGCTGTGTATGTCCATCCATCCATTTTCTGTCACTCTTATCCCAAGAGGGGTCGCGAGGGATGCTGGTACCTGTGTTGCTTATAAACATGGGTACACCCTGGACAGGTTGCAAGTCCATCCCAAACAGCACACACAACTATTCAAATACACCTAAGGAGAATTTAGAGAAGCCAATTAACCTAACAGTCATGTTTTTGGACTGTGGGAGGAAGCCGGAGTACCGGAGAACATGCAAACTCCATGCAGAAAGACCTTCTTGCTGCAAAGCAGCAGTGCTACCCACTGCGCCACTTAGCAGCCCTGGCTGTATATGTAAGCTATCTATTTTGCTTTTCTTTAACACAATTTAGCAGTGAAATAATCCTATTATCAGTCCTTTATTTTCCTTTACTTTCTGTTTTTAGCTGCTATTTGCATCGTGTTTACGGTGGTATTATTAGATACATTTTTTTTTATTGATTTCCTTTCAATGTATGAACCTGTACTGAACCTTGGCCACTTTGTTTTTTATTTCTTTTTATAAATTTTTTTTTTTTTTTTTTTTTTTTTTTTTTAGAATACCATCACACAAGACTTGTGTGTGAAAATGAGCGTCTGAGGCTGTCCTGTAAAAATGAGACTGTTCTGGCCATCTACTCGGCTACGTTTGGCCACCTCCTCCACGGGAGTCCCAACTGTCCTGAGGAACCCAGATCAAAGTCTGACATGGGTCTGAAACACACATCCATTGGCAGACAGTGGAACAGAAACTACATTGGGGAATTTTACTTGTGATGCTGTTTGATCAGAGCTAAGAAGTGATTTCTATTAGTCCATATCTGTGTTTGTTTTAGAGTGTTTGTCAGCTGTGGCTGTAAGGAAGGTGTCCCGCAGATGTCACGGAAGAGAAAACTGTTCAATTTTTGCAGATACTCAAACCTTTGGGGACCCCTGCTTTCCTGGCACCAGGAAACACCTGCGAGTCTCCTTCACTTGTGGTAAATAACAGATTATAGATCAATATCCACAGCTAATAAAATATGGCCTTCTCCTACATGTAACATCTAACTTTCTCTTCAGTGCCCAGATATCTGCTTGAAGACATGGGTCGAGGGTCAACAGATCCTTTCATGATCTCAGACATCACACATGGTGAGGCACTAAATATATTCTCATTGGCTTCATTGTGTGAGGTATCCGGCTGACTGGTCTCTGAGCCCAGACCCCTCTCACCTGCAGGCGGATGGTACACTGGCCCCACCTACTGGTCTCAAAATGTCTTCTTAAACAACTGCCTGGAGATCATTGAAAAATTATTGGGTATGTCCTCTGTTGCCTGAGATGCCAGTCTGGACTCAAGTTGATTTTAAACAAATGGCCCATACATCTGATCATTAGTGTAAAACAAAGGGCAAATATACGACAATAGTTTATTACACAAACAAAAAAAAGTTTTGTTAATTGACTAACTGGGAACTCCTATTAAGTAAAAAAATATGCCTGCATAATATAATGGATTTTCATAGCAAAACACTAAATGGATGGACCTTCAAGTAAATACGAAGAAAAAACAAACAAACTTGCAACTGCCATCCACTCAATTGGGATAATCTGTTCCCGAGACAACACTAGTCATGTTACACTCAATGAACCTGACCTTGAACGAAAAAGTGTTGAGAAGAAAGAAGATGTTAGTGGAAAGACAAAAGATGCAATGCATAGAGTGTGCCAAGAATAAAGTCAGTAAGTGGACATACCATGTGGAGGGGGAGCTCTGGCCAAAAGACAGTGATCATACAAAATACAACATATTGTGAAGAAAATACCCTGCAATTCACCCTGAATACACTATGTGAAACATGGCGGGGGTAGAGTCATGCTGTGGGGTTGTTGTTTTATAGGCCTGTAAGGGGATACTGTTCAAATCTGATGTGATTTCACATGAAATCACTATAAGTAAAGTGTGTTATTGTAATGTTACTGCATAGTCAAGGCCTGTGAATGTTTGTCTCTGTTGTTATTATTTCTCCATTGTTCACTATGTCAGCATCGTCCTGACTAGAGCTGAACGATTCTGCCAAAATCAAAATTGCAACTATTTTTGAGCAAAGTTGTGATTTTATTTGGATTTTAATTTATGCTAACCCCAAACTTAAGGTTTTTTTTTTCACCCCCGGTTTTCAGTTTTTGAAAGCCTGCTTACCCAGAGTCCATTGTTGTAGGACTTTACTGTAGTCTTTGAATGAAAAAGTTCTTACTTCTACTTGCGTGCAGACCTGCATGCTAACCGCAAAAATATCTACCCACTTCAAATGTTTTAAGCCACATAAATGACTGGAGTGAGATGTGTTGTGTATCTTGTTAAGTATAGTGAGTGTCTTTGCGATTGGAAAATTGCGTTTTCTTTAAATTTCGATTATATTGCAAATGCAATTAATTGCCCAGCCCTAGTCCTGACCCATTTAGTTCTTTACTTTAGCAATTTCCCCCATTATTTTTACTTTTCTTCTTATCTTTTTTTGTTAAATATTTCTTTGCATTTCCGTTCACATATAACAAACTTTGGTTAAGTCTAGAAATCTCCCTGAACATTTGTTTTTTAAAAACATTAAATTTTTTTTTGTAAGATGTACAAGGGGTAAGGTGGTTGTCCTATTGGGTCTGAAACATTTCCCACAAGTATATTAAGTTTCTTAGTATAATTATCGAGCGTCTTATGGAATAACTGTAAAATTTTAGAAATTGTGACAATGTTGAAATGGGTCTATAATTTGTCATTCCTGTTTATCTCCATTTGCAAACTTCATTCAATCTGGGAATATCCCTGACTGCAGAGACAGGCTAAATATGTGGTCAATGTTTGAAAACGAATTTAATACTTTATTTTTAACATTGACATATCCAAGCTGTTCCAGCCAGCTGACTGTGTTGCCTCACTTTTTCTGACAATTGTAAAGATTTCACTTTCCTCAATAGCTTGAAAATATAGTTTTATGTTAAAATTTTGAGCTGCAGTTTGTCTTAGTCCAATAAACCAGAATCTTTTCTCACTGTGTTTGCAGTTGAGTTTGGTCAATCTGGTTACGACATGTTAACCAGTTTATTGTTTCTTTTAATTTGGAGTTATCTTCATTCTTTCCTTTGTGTTAATCCATTGCATGATTTGATCACTTATCAAGCTCTGGTATCTCATGATTCCCTTTTGCCTGTTTTTGAGATTTACTCAGTTTGATAAGGACTTAACAGTTTCCAGTCCAGGTGTATTGAATATATTTTTTTCTGAATCTTTGTTTCTCTTGCAATTGCAACATTTTCTTAATGATGTGCTCATTCAAAAAAAATAAATAAATAAAAAATACCAGATCCCTTTAATATTTTGCCATTCCTCAGCATCTCCATTTTGGACTTTTACTAACAAACTGAAGGGGGATATTTGGCTGTTTTCTGGGGCAGAATATGGGAAGCAGCAATGTACTTACAGTCTAATTTAATGTATTTGCTGTCAGAAAACTTGCCTACCAGTAGCTCAAGTGTAAGCACACCAGGATTAGAAGTAGTTATTTGCAGATTTTCATCTCCGTCATCAACACTTGCAGCTTGTTCATTGGTGTAATGTATTTGAAGTCTGGTTTGAAGGACATCATCCATTCTTGAATACTGTTCCAAAAAAACAATTTTTGCATTTCTTCATTTTTCTTGTCCTTGAGTTCTTCTAGTTCTACTTTTTATTATTTGATTTCCTCAATTTCCTTCAGTTCCATTAGGCCTCTATAATAATTTACCACTTTAGTCATTTCCTATGGTTTGAAGCCAAGTGATCTCTTAATCTCTTCAATATTTTCAGTCCAGTTTCCATAGTGTCAATATTCACTAATGACATATGCAAGTAAATGTACTTCAAAGTCTCCTCAGCTTCTGCTTCTCAGGGGTTTAGGCTGCAGCTTATCAAATGTGCAACTTGGTCAGCAAAAAACTAAATATTTGCATACTATTGTCCATCTCCTTTAGGTTAAATATAATATTTTGGTTTGATGCTGTCTTATTTTCTGGATATGTTTAGGATTGTGGAACTAAGCCATTTAACCTTTGACTTTTATAGCCCTGACATTATCTTAGGTAAAGCTATTGTTTTTTCCCCCCTCAGAATTAAACATTTCTTTAATGGGACCACTGTGTTTGTTTTATGACTGATGGACACTTTTTTCTTTCAGGTCTCCCAGAGAGAGTGGCTCTATACTTTGTCTCTGGCATCTGTGCCGGTCTGGTGTTCCTGCTCTGCCTGTTTGGGCTTCGCTCCACACTGGTGAGAGATGTCAAAGACCTGGTTTCTGACCTGAGCGATCAGCTGAAAGCCTCACGCAGGCAGCGCAAAGAGCTTATGGATGACCTCTTTGATGAAGATATCTCAGACACCTCCTCCTTCCGCCACCTCACGCAATCCTACCGTACCACGGAAACTTTTAGCCCGTCCACCATAACAGTAGAGCTGGTTGAGCGAGATGTGCAGCAGACAAGGGATCTTCCCAATGGAGACATCTGGCCACAGGTGGACTCCAGTCCCTATGCCATTCACAAGATTAAAACTTACAGCAACTGATTTAGTTCAGATTTTTTGGCCTAAAGGTGAAAAAGAATGGTAGTAACAAAAGGGAATTTTAAATTAATCTAAATTCCGCTTTGCATCAATTATGTTGAAGTAAAATCCCTATAAATAATATTGTGATTGATGCCTTTAAAATCTAAACTGGCCTTATGCTCTTCATTAATATTATTATATGCAAATTTTACACAATTTTAACAGTTATTTTAACATTTCCTAGACTAATATATGAACAAGAGGAAATAACTACAATACAATATATTTTGCAAGTTTTTCCACTTAGAATTCATGGAGGGGTCTGAAATTGTCAGCACAATGTATGAGTTTTTAACTATTTCTTTTCATGATACAACTGCAAATAAGTATTTGAACGCTGTCTATCGGCTAGAATTCTGACCCTCAAATACCTGTCAGGCTGCCTTCAAAATGTACAACTCTACTCCATTTATTATCCTAAATTAGACCATTTGGATGATCCAGAGGAGTCATGGGAGAAAGTCATGTGGTCAGACGAGACCAAAATAGACGTTTTTGGGGCATAATGCCACAAACCATTTTTGGAGGAAGAAAAATTATGAGTACCATACCAAGAACACCATCCCTACAGTGAAGCATGGGGGTGGTAGCATCATGCTTTGGGGGTAATTTTCTGCACATGGGACAGAGTGATGGCACTGTATGAAGGAGAGGATGATCGGAGCCATGTATTGGGATATTTTGGGGAACAACCTCCTTCCCTCACTTACAGCTTTGAAGATGGGTCTAGGCTGGAAGCACACAGCCAGGATAACTAAGGGGTGGCTCAAAGAAGCATATCAAGGTTCTGGAGTAGCCTAGCCAGTCTCCAGACCTAAACTCAATAGAGAATATTTGGAGGGAGCTCAAACTCCGCATTCCTCAATGACAGTCCAGAAACCTGACTGAAGATCCTTGTGGAGGAGTGGGCCAAAATTCCTCCTGTGGTGTGTGCAAACCTGGTGAAAAGCCACAGGAAACCTCAGATGTCTGTAATTCGAAACAAGGGCAATTTACATTGATTTTCTAAGGTGTTCAAATACATGTTTGCTGCTGTATCATACAAATAAATAGTTAAGAAAAATCATATATTCTGATTTTGTTTTAGAATATGTCTCTCACAGTCGACATGCACCTACAATGACAATTTCGGATCCCTCTATGATTTCTAAGTGGGAGAACTTGCTAAATAGCAGGGTGTTCAAATACTTATTTTCCTCACTGTATATGTATATAAACATCTTCAGTATTGGCATTACTAGACTTTCACTTTTGTTACTGTTAACCGCACCATATAGGCTCAGACAGATTAGAGTTTTTCCCATGTGTTTATGGTTAACTAAACTCTTTCTAAAAAGCTAAAAGATGGTCGATCAGAGTAGTGTCCTTATTACTTAAGCAGCAGCCATACTAGATGCATTGTTAATTCAACTTTATGTTTCTAAATGTGTTTATATTAACTGTATGTTTGTCTAAGTAAAACACCTTAACACCAAAGCAAATTCCTTTTCATTATAAAACAGTCCTTATTAAAACTTTATCTGATTCTGACTGATTTGTCGGCCCCTATGCTGCTGCATCAGACACAAGTCACCATGAAGGTNAAAATTTTGGTGTCGATCATTCGATTTCATCCTGGACACTACAGAAAATGGGCTAAAAGTGTTAAAAACCGTAATTTTCCTTTAAAAATCGTGGAGGGGTCTGATATTGTCATCACAATGTAGGATTTTTTAACAATTTCTTTGTATGATACAGCTGCAAATAAGTATTTGAACTCTGTCTATCAGCTAGAATTCTGACCCTCAAAGACCTGTCAGGCGGCCTTCAAAATGTACAACTCAACTCCATTTATTATCCTAAATTAGACCATTTGGATGATCCAGAGGAGTCATGGGAGAAAGTCATGTTGTCAGATGAGACCAAAATAGAAGTTTTTGGTCATAATGCTACAATTCTTGGAGAAAGAATGATGAGTACCATACAAAGAACACCATCCCTACAGTGAAGCATGGGGGTGATACAGTAGCATCATGCTTTGGGGGTAATTTTCTGCACATAGGACAGAGTGACGGCACTGTATGAAGGAGAGGATGACCGGAGCCATGCATTGGGATATTTTGGGGAACAACCTCCTTCCCTCACTTACAGCTTTGAAGATGGGTCTATTCTGGAAGCACACAGCCAGGATAACCAAGGTGGCTCTGAAAGAAGTATATCAAGATTCTGGAGTAGCCTAGCCAGTCTCCAGACCTAAACCCAATAGAGAATATTTAGAGGGAGCTCAAACTCCATGTTCCTCAATGACAGTCCAGAAACCTGACTGATCTAGAGAAGATCCTTGTGGAGGAGTGAGCCAAAATTCCTCCTGTAGTGTGTGCAAACCTGATGGAAAGCCACAGGAAACCTCAGATGTCTGTAATTCGAAACAAAGGCAAATAACATGGATTTCCAAGGTGTTCAAATACATGTTTGCAGCTGTATCAGACAAATAAATTGTTAAAAAAAATATATTGTGATTTTTGCATTTTGTTTAGATTATGTCTCTCATAATTGACATGCACCTACAATGACAATTTCAGACCCCTCCATGACTTCTAAGTGGGAGAACTTGCAAAAAAGCAGGGTGTTCAAACACTTATTTTCCTCACTGTATATGTATATAAACATCTTCAGTATTGGCAACTTTTGTTACTGTTAACCACACCATATAGGCTCAGACACATTGGAGTTTTTCCCATGTATTTATAGTTAACTAAACTCTTTCTAAAAAGCTAAAAGATGATGACAAAAGATGGTCGATCAGAGTAGTGTCCTCATTACTTTAGCAGCAGCCATATTACATGCATTGTTAATTCAACTTTATGTTTCTAAATGTGTTTATATCAACTGTATGTTTGTCTAAGTAAAACACCTTAACACCAAAGCAAATTCCTTTTCATTATAAAACAGTCCTTATTAAAACTTTATCTGATTCTGACTGATTTGTCGGCCCCTATGCTGCTGCATCAGACACAAGTCACCATGAAGGTTGAACAGCGCCATTTGGGGTAAAGTCACTAAATGTGTTCTGTTGGGTGCCATTCATTTTGAGAGTACACACTGTCTGTTTCAAGTGTGTGTGAATGTTATCTGGTTTGAAAAAAACAAAACACTTATCATCTACTGATAAGGTATAAATAGCATACTGGCCAGATAAAATGTTTGACGTAGGAATCTATGCTGCAGCAACTGACATATCTTCAGAGGTGTAAAAGTAGTAGTTCATTTACTCAAGTAGCTTTATAAATCCTACTGTTTAAAAACACTTTTGAAGAAGTTTGACTATCAATTTAAGCTTTTTACTCAAATAAAGGTGAAAAAGTAAAATTTTTAAAAGTACTTAAAGTATACAAGTAAAAGTAATGCAGTAAAAAACGTTAAGGACAGATGCTTTAAACTTTATACTGGTTACTGCATTATGCTATTAAAGAACAGTTTTCTACAATTCAGGATGAAAAATTCCTTATATGTAATTTTGCTATATTTGTAACTAATTGTAATAGTGTCAAATTTAACTTTGGATCATCATGATTTAGTTTGTGGTGAACAACAAGTTGGTGAAGCACCAAGTCCAACCACAAAGGAATATAATTGTCTGGATAAAGCTTATTAATATATATTTTTTTATATGAACAGGCAATAACAAAAATTAGCTTAAACTAACAACATCTATTTTTAAACGCAAGGAGTAGAAAGCAGAGATAATTGCAAAAAAAAATGTAATGAGTAGAAGAAAAAAGTTGTCTAGAAAATAATTAATCTAGTAAAGTATAGTCAAAATTTCTACTTAAGTAAGGTAATAAAGTATTTGTACTTTGTTACTTGACACCTCTTCATATCTTTGACACCTTTTACAACTTAAGTTTGAGCAAAAATATTTCAGCTTACTGCCTCGTAGGATGTGTTTATTTGCAAAGTCATGAAAAACAAATTGAACTTTTAGATATCTATCTATCTATCTATCTATCTATCTATCTATCTATCTATCTATCTATCTATCTATCTATCTATCTATCTATCTATCTAT